CTCCCCTCCCCCTCCCCCTCCCCTGGTTTACAAATGGGGAATCATTGAACTAGGTCATAGCATCGCCCAGTTAGAAGATCGCTCGACAGTTCATTCATAAAATCATTCCCAACATTCGCAAACGAAGCGACTGCTCTGCTGCAGTTTTTCGGATAGCTCGGGAGGAATAGCTTCCAATATATTTGTCCGAACTTCGTAGCTACCACAAACAATCAGGTAGCCACCAGCCAGGTCGAGGGCTGCTTCGGTCGATGTACCCGAGGAGGCTTGACCGATTTTACGTTTTGTGTCTATAACCCCGAATCGCTTCAATACGTCTCCAATATAAGGCCTGGTCGGCCAGTGGGGCGGGGTTGATTCTTGCTGTTTGTCAGGGTCTTGATGGTTCAAGTCTTGATGGTTCAAGTCTTGATGGTTCAAGTCTTGACGGTTCAAGTCTTGATGATCAACTATGTTAGCTGCTAGCGGCATCAGACCGTTTTCGGCGGTGACAGTGTAGACAGTGTGGGTCAGTGTTTCTCTGGTGAGGCAGACAACCATCTGTTTAACAAGGCCGTGTCGGATGGCGTGTTCGAACAGCCCGTCTGATATCAACTCGTATTCCGCCCGGGTCTTCAGACTCAGGACTACGTGTGTGAGTAATCCATTCGGAATTGTTCGTTTCGTGCGAGTGAAAATCGCACGACGATGATCCACAAATGAACGCACCAAGGCACAACCGCTCCCAGCTGCACACCAAATCCCCCGTTGCATGGCGTGCAAACGTGTGCATTGACTCTGCAATCCATCACTCATTAATGGAGGGGCACCAGGACCCAGGGCACCAGGACCCAGTTCCTCATCCGCCACTGTCGAAGGCGTGGTCTTGCTGTCTTGGTTGGATACCACAGCCAGCTGGTTGGAGTACTCAGTCGCGGTCGCAGTCGCAGTCGCAGTCGCGGTCGCAGTCGCGGTCGCAGTCGCGGTCGCAGTCGCGGTCGCAGAGAAGGTCTTGGCCGCAGTTGCCCCGAAAGTCTCGATTTGCGTTGTAGGCAAATGTCTTAGCCAATCCGCGACCCGTCCGACATGTTCCATTGACATGGTCGTGAGTACTTGACCGTCGTAGTGTTTACGCGGGTTGGTATATGACTCCGAAATCAGGAGGGTCACTTCCGTAGCCGTGTCCAGGCGGTTCACATCGCTGGCCAACGTGTACGCACGGTGGTACACGCGGGGCAGCTTCTCTAACAGGCGCAACGGCAGGCGGTAGGTAGCGCCTTCCGCATCACGACGGGCCTGCTCCAGTAGTTCGTACAGAGTTACTCGTCGGCCGCACACGTACTCGACCAGGCGTGCCACGTCATCCATTGGGTGGGGAGGGAGACTTGCTGGGGACAGACTCGTTTGGGTAAAGTCTTCGAGTGCGAACCTCGAGCGTGTCTTCTCGGGTAGTAGCGGCCAGAGTTGGTACTTGATAAAATCGCAGGCAGGGGTTGCTGTCCAATCGATGGCGTATCGGAGTGCGTCTCGCACCATCATGTATTGAGGGAAGAGGCGTTTGCCGGTGGGTGGGAGAGGTTGTTCTTCTAAAATGCAGTCAGCGTCCTCGCTAAACTCGAAGAGGTCGCAGGCCAGCTTATACACGGCAGGCGAACAGGGGACCCACAATGCCAAGGCCTGTCCGGTCGCTAAATTCAAGTCGCCTCCGAGAGAACGTAATCGTAATAAATGCAACTCTCCAACCACACTATGCTCCAAGACCTCCGCACACACGGACGTCATTAACGTGCGGTCTCTCACACGTAAAGCCACACTGCCACGGCTCCGATAATTCATTACCAGATTGTTGCGAGAATGTGTTCCGAATCGGGTCGCCGGATCTGTTCCGGATCGGGTCGCCGGATCTGTTCCGGATCGGGTCGCCGGATCTGTTCCGGAACAAGGATCTGTTCCGGAACAAGGATCTGTTCCGGGACAAGGATCTGTTCCGGGACAAGGGCCTATAACTAATTTTAGGCTGGATCGCGCGGCTGCCTGGGCCATTGCATCGAAATTAAGTCGCTCTGTTATCGTTGGAAGGAGCAGGTCCAATTTGTGCAACAGACGCGCTCTGAAGTCTTCGTCGGCCGTGTCCACAAGAAGCGGCGCCGGTAGCAGCATGTGGGCACCGTGGTTCAGAGCGCGCAGCCGCTTGTCCAGGTCCTTACCGAACTGGTTATAAGATGCGAAGGCTGAGTGGCCCAAGCCAATAATGAAACACAATTTGGGCACACACAGCTCGGCATTGGCTGTCTTCTTCAGGGCCGTCCAATACTCAACCGCTGTCGTAGGAGGGTCGCCCTCACCCGTCGTAGACGCCATGAATACCGTCAACACCTTCCCGTCCGTCAGTTCCAATTGCTTCCAGTCCTCAAAAGACGCGACGTCCACCACACACGTGTGGCTCTCAAACCAACTTGAGACGCACTCCGCTAGCTTCTCAGTCGTTCCCCACTCGCTACCGTACAATACCAAAACTCTCGTAACTTCTCCCGCCAACCGGTCTGATTTCTCCACACTACTCCTGACCAAGGTGCTGCTTACATGCGATGCCCCCCTAGCCCTTACAACCAATGACGGACCCGCTACTTCACTAGCATCCACCTGGTCAGCATCATTCACATGACTAGCATCCACCTGGTCAGCATCATTCACATGACTAGCATCCACCTGGTCAGCATCATTCACATGACTAGCATCCGCAAGTGCAGGCTCGGCACCTCCTTCAACGTAAACCGCGAATTTCTCCATTCCCTCCAAATTACCCGACGCCTCCCCCTCCTTTTGCTTCGGTTTTTTCGTCGCACTCATTAGAGAGTATGCCCCCAATGCTGCCAGCATCACACAAAGTATGCCTATCTTCGCTGCGTGACGGTGACCCATAATCTGGGGATCCTCACCCCGCTTTTTTGTGGTATATAAATGACCCCTGGGCCGGGATATTCGCTCCATCAATGGGAGCACAACATGTGGCCTGCTGCGCGAGTCATGTGGCCTGCTACATGACTCAAAAAGCGGTGAAGCGTTGTTTGAGGACGAGTTGATCGAAAGTATCGTCTCGCATTCGGGGAGGTGAGATATTGACCCTCAGGTCGCAATCGGCTCAACTGGCTGCAGTTACTGGAAGGGACTACAACTGCCAGGGAGCAGAGTGTGTGGGGAGGATGGCGGCACCATGCGCATACCTGTGCTAATCCAGCATGCGGATATCCCTCCAAAATTGTTGAAGTTTCTGTTTTCCATCCTTTACATTCTTGATATCCGAGCATACAGCACCATATTGTGTCCGTTTGATACCTCTTGCTAGAAATACAGCTTCATAGTACTGGTCTAATGCACCTGCAGAAATCAGATATTCCGTTACCTCAAAGTCAAGTCGCTTCCCGTTGACATCGATAAAGTATCTCAAGTCTGCCTCAAAGCAGGTGCCAGGTAAGTCATCGAACACCATAACAGTTAACTCGGAAGCTATCCTCCCTAGTTCATGCAGCTTGTCTTCTCCAGCACCATGCACGTCAATACCAGCCCACTTTCCAGCGGCTATTCCACGACGGATCATTTTAAGTTGGTACAATTCTTCTCTACCATGGCACTGGAACGCGCACTGGGTAGGCTTGAGGTATCGGACGATCGCTTCCCAAACAATAGGAAAATCAAATTTAAATGGAACACCAAAGAAATGACCAGATAACTTCTCACCGTCATTGCAACATATCTTGCCACCGGAACCGCCACAATTATACCAATTCAGCATCTTCCAATCATCAATTTTCGGGCTCTGCACCGTTGCTTTCATCTTGCTCTTGTGATAAGTTGTGTTACTAAACTCTGGTGGCAGACTCAACGTGGCAAGTTCATGCCCAGAGATAAATGAGTTCTTATCTCCTACGCTAGGCAAGGCGCGGGGTCGGGGATCCGGTTTGCACTTCATGATCCAGTCGGACTTGGACTGGATTTCACAATCGCAAGATAAAGCATGCTCATACCTTACACCTTCGGAAGCGCCAAAGGCCGTTGCATCACATAGGCTGTAGCCTGACGACAATTCGGTCTTCTCCGACAAATCGGTCTTCTCCGACAATTCGGTCTTCTCCGACCATTCGGTCTTCTCCGACCATTCGGTCTTCTCCGACCATTCGGTCTTCTCCGACCATTCGGTCAAAAATGGGACATGACCGAAATGGCGGAAATAAATCCATCCCAAAACCCCCAATGCCGTGCCACCCACTACACATCCAAGACTCACACCAAGCCATGGCCTTCGGCAACAACTGGTGGCAGTCGAGCCGTCCGTACTTCCGTCGTCGTCGTCGTCGTCAAAACGATTTTTTCGCCGAGACGACCTATCTGTCATCCACCCGTGTGACACATCCGCCAGCTCATCTCCATCGATCTCCGACTCCTCAAGATTGGACGGAACTGTGAGGACCAACGCCAGGCTTCCAACGACGCCACCGAATCCCATGCACATCACACCCCTCATGTCAACGGGATTTGCCAAAAAAACTTCAACGGAAAATGCGGATGTTGGAGTCGATGCGTGGTGGGTCCTGTCAGCACACTCGGATGTCCAACATTCAGTCTTTTTCGAGGTCGGATATGGACAGAACTCTACCAGATGCTCCTCTGTCCATCGGGCGAAGATGCTGGCCACGTCGGTTCGTTAGTGTTGAAAAGCGTAGATGATGCCTCCTCCTCCTCCAAAGTATTTCTCTGCCAAGGACGAAAATGGGGGACATCCCAGAAGTTTGCACACGTGTGCGCATAAACGGATGTTCAAGCCAATCGGGCCGGAAAAAATGTCTTGCGTGTGTGTGGCAAGGATCGGAGGCGATTTACGTACGCTGCACCGCAATTCGAGCGCTATTCTCCCAAAATAGTCGAAGCGCCAGTTTTGCAGCATTTGAGTCCGGGAAATACCAACATTCACCGTCGTATTGTGGTGTCCTGAAATGTCTCGTTTTGATTGGAACCTCGTAAAACTTGCGTAATGCACCTGTGAAGTCCAGATAGTCGGTGACCTCGGCGTGATGTCGTCTGGCTTTAAAGTTGGCGTAGTATATCATGTCTGATTCAAAGCAGTCTCCGGATAACCATGAGAAGGCTTTTTCAGTAAGATTGAAAGCTTGGGTGCCTAGATCATATAGCTTATCTTCAGTGGCGCGATGCACGTCAATACCAGCCCACTTTCCAGCGGCTATTCCGCGACGGATCCCTCTCAGGCGCGATAGTTGATCCTCATCGTGGCACTGGAACGAGCACGTGGTAGGCTTCAGGTATTGGGCGATCGCCTCCCAGACGGCAACAAAATCGAATTTAAAGGGAACACCAAAGTAGTGACCAAAGAAGTCCTCACCATCAGAGCAATAGATCTTGCCACCCGAACGTCCACAGTTCCGCCATCCCAGCTTCTGCCAACCATTCGCCTCTGCTTTCTCAAAGGGTACTTTCATACCCTTATTATAGTAACTCATAATGCTAAACTCAGAGGGTACTCTGAGTGTGGCCAACTCATGTGGAGATAATAAAGGGTTCTTGTCCTCAATCCTAGGCAAGCCGCGGGGTCGCGGATCCGGTTTGCACCTCATGATCCAGTCGGACTTAGACTCAACTTCACAATCACAAGACAAAGCATGTTCGTACCTTAAAACATCCGAAGCGCCAAAGACCGTGGCGTCACAGGGACTGTAGCTCGACACCGCGGTCTCCTCCGACAACACTTGGCTATCGGAACTGTCACCCGAATGGCGGAAACACAGCCAACCCAAAACTCCTAACGTCGTCACACCCATCGATCCGACAGCAATTAGGAACCATGGTCTTCGATAAAAACTGGCAGTTGGTTCAGGGAAACGATCCGTATCAATGTCGTCATGACGATCCCCCGAGGACTCCTTCAGTGTTGTTATCTTCCACTCTGGCGACAGCCCATCTGGCGACAGCCCATTTGTCTCCGACTCCTCAAAATCGGGTGTCGACGGAACGGTTAGGACCAACGCCATACTGCCACCCATTCCACCGAATCCCGTGCAAGCCACTCCTTTCATAGACAACACAATTTGCTTTTTCGGGGAAAAAAACAGAAGATGTGTTTCGTCGTGCGTGACACAGGGATCAACATCACACAGGGATCAACATCACACAGGGATCACCGTGTCGCTCAGAAAGTGCCCTACCGAAACGATCTAAGATGAGACGGCGCTTCTGAAGGTGCTAGGGAAGGTGCGCACGGCGTCTTCGTGGAGGGAGATACCGTGGAGGGACGGTGGTTGCTGTCGCTGTTCGGTGCATCCTCGCGTACGGCTGGTGGTGCCGGAGGGAGGGAAACCCACTGCGATGATTGCTAGGGAGTAGACACAACACGATTACTACCGCTAACAACATGGCAGGGAGAGTACGAGCTCGAGCGTCTCGGACGGGAGCAGCTCCGACCAGCGGGACCGGATAGTCAGCGTGCACCACGAGGACATTACACACATGACGTAACGTTGGTCAACACATAACGTTGGTCAACACATAACGTTGGTCAACACATAACGTGGTCAACATATGGTACAGAAGTCTGGCATTTCCAGAGGTCTACAGTTATGGCAGAATGGCGTCATCCCGTCAATGGGAACGTCATGAGGCAGAGGACGTGGTCGAGGCCGAGGCTGGTTCCGAGGCCGTGGCAACTAGGACAAAGGCACCGAGGCCGTGGCAACTAGGACAAAGGCACCGAGGCCGTGGCAACTAGGACGATATCCTCTAGCGCTGGCCGGAGCCATACAAGAAGCAAAAGGGGGCTTGATCTTGTACCCAATAGGCTAAGTATACTACAGACCATAGACCACTGGCTACGACCATTACTACAACAATGCAAACTATCTGAGCTACCATCGGCACCGAACTTTACACTACCCACGAGGGTCGTGAAGGAACGCGTTACACACGACTACTGCCCTACATCGACGATACAGGCCGTTTTCCCAAACGTTCTGAGCTGTTGGCCGATAATAACATGGGGCGTGCAGCAACCACTACTAGCGAGGATCTACCTCAGTAAAGCATTCAACGCTATACCACTACCGCCCGATCAAATCGGGACGTACGCTTTCCAACATCGAGACAAATACTACGCTTACAACTGCATGCCGATGGGTGCCA